AAAAAAAAAAAAAAAGAAGAAGAAGATGACACCAAGACTTTTTTACAAAGGCTCAAATTTAAAGCGACCTTTTGAGAACATGCACTGATAAGACACAAAAGAGTATCTGGCTAATCTGAAGTGGGCCCCAATCCCGATATCTACGGCAATGTACCCGACTCACATTGCCATATCAATCTGTATTCAAAACTCAAAAGCAACAACTACACAAATAACATAATTAATCAATATCCAACATTCAATATATAATCATATATTATATATAATTGAAAAAAAAAAATCGATCAATATGAACAAAATTCGACTTAGAGTTCCTAAATAACATGCCTATTAAAAATCGATCAACATGATCATATATAACCAATAATTCTTAATGATATTGTTCCTGAACGATCTTGAGTTCAACTCATTTATCAATATGAACAAGCAGAATTCGACTCTTAACGAAACAAAATCGAGTCACACTCACGAGCGACTGCAAACAACATCTTTTACTTTCACTCAACCACCCAAAAGGGTATACTCATCAATAATGTTTTCCAAAATCATTGATGAATCATGCATGTGATGTTGATGCAAGATTTATAGACAACATGCCTATTAAAATTATTTTCACCCCCCTCAATAATTTACTATTTCTCAATTTGATTCATTTTCTAAGCAACTTTTTCAATGCCATAGACTTCCACATAGTAGAATAAATAACACTAACAAACATATTATATTGGGCCCCTCACTTCACAGCCATATGCTATTTCCAGTTCTTGTTTGCCCACCAAACTCCCTGTTTTTGGGTTTTCTTATCAAATTAAAGGCCACTATTTTGGCTACAGACATGTAAATTCTTGATTTAAGCCTCAAATTCTTGATATTTTTATGTTTTTTTATAATTTTTACACAGTAAATAATTGGTAATGGTGATGGAAATAATGATATCCGTGATTCTCCTGATTGTGGGGATAGCAGTGCTGATGATAATCCATATCTGCGTCGTGGGCCGGGCCTTCAGGGGTAATACGAGGGGGGACGAGGAAACGAGCCAGTCCGAGAGAATCCCGGGCCTGAAGCCCGACGACTTGGAGAGCCTGCCCTGTTTGGATTATGGCGGGCCCGGGATAGGGAGCTCTTTGGACTGCGCAGTGTGTTTGGAGAGCTTTAAGGCAGGTGAAAAATGCAGGGTTTTGCCCACGTGCGGGCACATTTTCCACGTGGGTTGCATAGATTCTTGGCTATTGAAGACAGGGGCTTGTCCGATTTGCAGGACGAGTGCCAAGTCGGATGAGTTGGAGGTGAGTCGTGGGAGCGTGTCAGGTGAGTCTGGGTTGGAGATGGTGTAATGTAATGTAAATATTTTGTTTGTGTTCATAAATTGTATTTAAGTTTTTTTTTTCTTATTTATATATATAATCACTAGCTGATATAATTACTAGCTGATGTATTTAATAAAAATATTTAATAAAATCTATTTTTATTTCCCTCTAAAGGAGTTTTACAATTTTTTTAATTAATTACTCACTAATCTGTTAAAACCGTTATACCTTAATATATATTTTTATTATTTATTTTTCGGATTAGTTACTAAATTAATTCTAAATTTAGTAGCAAAAAATTCAAATGTGTAACGGATAATGTTGGAACTGAAAGTTGATTAGCACATTCAGAACGGTAACCGCTATATTTGGTTGCATTGTTGAAAGAAAAATATGATTGACACATATTTTTTTTCTAAAAATAAAAAACACTAGTAATTTGTTTTATTTATGTTAATTATCTAAATATATGTCACAAATATATAAATTATTTTATTTATGTTACTAATGTAAACATTGCACGGTTAACATAAAATTTAAATCTTAAATAATTTTGAATGATACAAATAACTTAAGAAAAAGTAATAATTTTTATATAATAGAAGTACGTGTCAAATTAATAAATACAAACGTGTTTTATATTTGTGTAAATGCATAGAATCAAATACTAGTAAATATGGATTTGGGGTTGAATTATGACTTGTGAAGTTGTGAGTATTTTCATTTACTTGTGTAGAGAAGGAGAGTTTAATTTGCAGGTCGATTAATTATATTTTTTGTTTCTAGGAAATGTATATTTATGTTACGAAATGTCATTATTTTAGTAGTTAAAATTAAAATATTTTCAAAAGGGTTTTGTAATTTTGTAAAATTATGATAATTTTAATTTGGTAATTAATTTGAGTTATGAGATTGCATGTTATCAATAAGGCTACTGTTAGGTTTATTCAACGATTAGAAAGTCAAATCTCATAATTTTTTTTTTTTTTAAACAATAGATGTGTATGGATTCAAAAGTAAAATGTTGTACTTAAAAACCTAACACTACAAAAGCATGGCATTTTATACAGTAAGTATGCAATTTATTTTTGCAAAGGTAAGACGGATTGATCTAACTCGGTTAGACGGACTCACAAAATAATTTGTGAATTGTTATGGTTCGCGTTCAGTCCTTGATGAACTGTAGTTTGCATAAGCTCTCTTATTAAGTTTATAAAGAGCCCAAAATCATTGGTAGAAAATAAAACCTAGTAAGAATATGTTTAGTAGACAAATAAATTAACTTATAGTTTATTTGATTAGCTTATAAGCTTTATGTATTAAAATAAGCTTTCCAGTGAATGGCTCTAGTCCTTTGTTTTTTGTTTCTCCATCAGAATTTTGCAAATAGTCTAGTCCCTTGGAAAAAAGAAGTGTATCACTATCCAACAAGTACACAACTAACATAATTGATCAATATCCAACATTCAATATATAATTATATATTATATATAATTGGAAAAAAAAAAAGATCGATCAATATGAACAAAATTCGACGTGATTTCCTAACTGACGTGCCTATTAAAAATCGATCAATATGGCCAATGATTCTTATTGTTCCTGAACGATCTTGAGTTCAGCTCGTTTATTAATATAAACAAGCAGAATTCAACTTTTAACTAAACGAAATCGAGTCACACTCACGGGCCACCGCAAATAACATCTTTCACTTTCACTCAAGCACCCAAAAGGGTATACTCATCAATGTATTCAAAATCATTGATGAATCGTGCATGTGATGTTAATGCAAGATTTATAGAAAACATGCCTATAAAAATTATTTTTTACCCCCTCAATAATTTACTATTTGTCAATTTGATTCATTTTCTAAGCAACTTTTTCAATGCCATAGACCAGAAATTCTATGGAGCCATCAGATGGTTTTCTTATGGAGTCATTCATGACTTAGTGTATTGACACTTGTACAAAGTCCATTTATTGTAGAACACATGTCAATACTCTGTTTGTGAATAACTGTGGATGACTCCATAAGTCGAGTCATTCGACGGCTCCATAGCAAAACTGTGCCATAGACTTCCACAAAGTAGAATAAATAACACTAACAAACATATTATATTGGGCCCCTCACATCACAGCCATATACTATTTCTGTCAATGCTTGCCCACCAAACTTATTTAATATTTTGTCCAAAATAAATTAACTTATAATAAAATAAAAATCACACAAAGTCACCTCAGCTTTTCAGAAAACTAATTTTCATCTTACTCAGCAAAATTGCCCTGCCTTTTGTTTTCTTATCAAAATTAAAGGCCATTATCTTGGCTACAGACATGTAAATTCTTGATTTACCCTCAAATTCTTCATATATATGTATTTCTTTTTATAATTTTTACACAGTAAATAATTGGTAATCTGGACATGGAAATGACCATATGGTCCATATCCATAATTCTCCTGATGGTATGGATAGCATTGCCGAATTTATTAATTATCTATACCTGCGTCAGGGCCGCAGCCCAGGCCGTCAGGGATAATGCGAGGAGGGACGAGGAAACGGGCCAGTCAGAGAGAATCCCGGGCCTGAACAGGGATAATACGAGGAGGGACGAGGAAACGGGCCAGTCAGAGAGAATCCCGGGCCTGAACAGGGATAATACGAGGAGGGACGAGGAAACGGGCCAGACAGAGAGAATCCCGGGCCTGAACAGGGATAATACGAGGGACGTGGAAACGGGCCAGTCAGAGAGAATCCCGGGCCTAAAGCCCGACGACTTGGAGAGCCTGCCCTATTTGGATTATGGTGGGCCCGGGATTGGGAGCTCGTTGGAGTGCGCGGTGTGTTTGGAGAGCTTTAAGGCAGGTGAAAAATGCAGGGTTTTGCCCACGTGCGGGCACATTTTCCACGTGGGTTGCATAGATTCTTGGCTATTGAAGACAGGGGCTTGTCCGATTTGCAGGACGAGTGCCAACTCAGATGAGTTGGAGGTGAGTCGTGAGAGCGTGTCAGGCGAGTTTGGGTTGGAGATGGTGTAATGTAATGTAAATATTGTGTTTGTGTTCATAAATTATTATTATCTTTTTTTCTTTTAAATATGGATTTGGGGTTTGAATTATGACTTGTGAAGTTGTGAGTACTTTCACTTGCTTGTGTAGAAAGAGGAGAGTTTATTTGGTTAATCATAATTTTTATTTATAAAAAATGTATATTTATATTATGAAATGTCATTATTTTGGTAGTTAAAAAATTACAATATTTTTCAAATGGGTTTTGTAATTTTGTAAAATTACAATATTTTTTAATTTTGGAATTAATCTGAGTTATCAGATTGGTATCAATAAGGCTAATGCTAGGTTTATTCAACGATTAGAAAGTCATATTTCATATTTTTTTTAAACAATAGATGTGTATGGATTCAAAATTAATTTGTGAATTGTTACGGTTCCTCTTCAGTATTGGTAGAAAATAAAACCTAGTAAGGCTATGTTTGGCTATATCTTATTTGGTTAGCTTATAAACTTCATGTATTAATTTAAATAAGTTTTGTTTACTACGACAAGCTTTTTTGAAAAGATCGAGTTTATCTCATAAGTTTTTTTAGATAACTTTTCAAATAAGCTCATTAAAATTTTTATTTCAGCTATCTTAACAGTTAATTTTACCCCAAAAAAAATTATTATATAAGCTCGCTTTTCGGCTATATGTCATAAGCTATGAGTTCAAAAATTACTGATAATTTATAAGATAACTTATCAGTTAATTTTACCAAACATAGCCTAAGTGAATATTTTGTCTAGATTTCTATGCAAATTCCATAATGCTACTGCAAAATTTCTGAGGCTTGTACTTACATTTTAATTACCTTAATTAGGTGCTTTGTAAATTTTAAAATATTAGCATAATAAAATAAAAATAAAAAATATTTAATATATTGTAAATATTATTTCAACGGAAGTAATATAAAATAAAAATAGAATATTGAAAAAAAGCTTATTGGTCTAATGTCTATGGACATTTCCATTTTCTCTAACTTCAGATATTTAATTTGACTAACAATAACATGACTTTTTTACAAGGATTGAAAATAATATATTCATTTTTGCAACATGGGAAACTTAGGGATACTTTCTTTTAGTATTTGAAATAGATGAAAATTTTGTTCAATAAAAATCAAGCACAATATGTCAAAGAAATAAAAAAAAAAATACCCAAGAGCGCTTGGATGAGATGGTTTGGGTCTCTTCCAGCTTAACCAGTGGTTTCGTGTTCGAGCCCTGGGAATGCAGCAGTGTTAAAACTCTTGAGGGAGAGCTTTGCCGCCCTTGTGGTCCTACCCGGCTCGATTCCGGATTAGTCGGTTTCCCTGTGGATCCGGAAACTGGAAAGTCCCTGTACCAAAAAAAAAAAAGAAATAAAAAAATAAATCTTGCAAAAACTATTCACTAACTAATTGCAAGAAATTACAGAAATATGACCACTCACTCACATATTTTGATAAAATATTATAATTCGATTATTTATTAAGTATTTTCTAAGCTGAAAACCCTTTATAGCTTATTTGGTTAACTTATAAATTTCATGTATTTAAATAAGTATCGTTTGGTAGGACGAACTTTTTAAAATGGACTCTGTCATATTTTTGTGAACAAATATGTAGTGTAATAATTACCTAACTTATTATTTATTGGGAAATACTACGGGTCCGTTACGGAATCATTCCGTCAGATTTGTAACCGTTAGATCATCATGTAACTGTCAGAGATAGTTGATTTAACAGTTACGAAATCCGACGGAATAGTTTCGTAACGGAACCGTAACATTTTCCTTATTTATTAATGGTTAGATAATTATACATTCTTACCAAAAAAAAAGTATATTTATAATATGAAATATCAAAATTTTGTTTATATTGCTTTCTTAAGTGAATTTTAGTATTAAAGTATGTAAACTTGTTGAAAAAATATCGTTGTCATGACTTGTCTAACCATTATACAACCTAACAAACTAATTATACTGTGAAATATCATAATATTATTTATATAGTTCTTTCCAAACTATAACATCACATTATTAAACATATTTATTTCTTCATGAACCATATAAAAGCCAAATAATAAATAAATAAAAACATGTCTAACTATTACAACGGTGACACCGTTGATAAAAACAAGTCCAACTATAACAACGGTGACAACGCTATATGAATAATTGCAACAAATGATATAAAATTAAGGAAAATGTTAAAGTCCCGTTTAACATCACACACTATAATAACTGTTAGAATATCACGTGTGAATTGTTAGAATATCATCTTATAAGTCTAAATGTCTAATGGACTACTCCTTCCACCAATTGGTTTTTCATATGGGCTTTCCCCGCGTATGGTGCGCTTCATGTTAGTGGGACCGCACCCGTTATCCCCCAGTTTCTTACATGGTATCATAACCGATTCTATTGGAACCGTGCGATGACGTACCTGTTTTTCCCCTAGATTCTTACATGGTATCAGAGTCGGTTCTATTGGGACCGTGCGATTACGTACCTGTTTATGGGAGTCTGCTTCTAGTAAGCTTGGGACACCCAACTCGTTATATGGGCTTGGGTTTTCTTATTAAGGATTCACAAGTGAGGGGCGTGTTAGAATATCATTTGTGAGTTGTCCCCCACTGTTTATACATAGAAAATAGACTCACCTTATAAGCCTAATGGGTTACTCATCATTCCACCAATTGATTTTGGGATGGAACCTCACCTGAACTTCATATGAATTCCCTCCGTTTATGGTGTGTTTCATGTTAGTGGGACCGCACCCGTTTTCTACCCATTTCTTACAATAACATTGTATATGACTTGCGCCGTTCTCAAGTTGAAACTTGATTTTATTAAACATGGCTAATTTACATTGCTACGATAATTTTTGAAATATTTGTATTCATAAATATAAAAAATAAAATAAATTACTTTTACATAAATAATACATCTTTTTGTAAATTTACGCACTCCTTTAAAAAAAAAAAAAGTTTATTTGTAGTTTATTATTAGTTTATATTATTAGATCTCGTGATCTTGCTTAATATAACAAACATAAATTCTCTCTATATATAATTCCTGAATGTGTTGAACCTAAGTGGCATGTTCGCATACTTTGGGATCTTAGGTGTCAAAATTACATGCTTTAGTGTTAGGCTTGGATAAATTTTAATTTAATTTTAATCCAAAAATAATTAGGTTCGGATTACCATAAATATGTTGATTTATTTATGATTATTTTAGATGTATTAATTGTATTTTAATATCATTTCCTATTATAACTATTGAATTGTAAACGTGTCTTAAAAGTTGATAATTTTTTTTTTATCGATTTTACATATATAATATATCAAATTAATCATTTTTTATGAGTTTCGATTTGACATCTATATTGTATATAATAAAATAAATAAATTATATTTATCTTTTAATAATAAATAATATTTATTAAAACTTATTATAAAAATAAAATTATTTCTCAATTATTATATTATGTTTAATGTAATTATATGTTATAAGTCAGAAAAATTATTATAATATAACACATGTAAGTCGCACAAGTAACAAGTGTCATACTAAAATATATAATAACATATATTTTTTATAAAAAAAAAGTATTTAAATTTTCAACTACTTTTTTTTATTAATTTTAATTTTAAGAAAAAAAATTAGCAAGCACCCGTGTAATACACATACGTTGTACTAGTTATTAATAAACATCAACTAAACATCTAAATCTCTAAATCTTCCACAACATCAATAAATTAGATATTCAAAAAAAATTATTTTTTCGAAAATATGAAGAAGTATAATAATACGAAATCGGAACACAAGATGTTATCATATAATAATAATAATTAATAATAATAATAATAATAATAATAATAATAATAATAATAATAATAATAATAATTTTTATTTGAGAATAATTTCTAAAGGACCGTACACTAATAAATAATTTTCTCTTGAAACAGTACTAGATAATGGGCCTATCAGCTGCCCAGTTAGTCATATAAACTCCATTATTATATCTATAAATACACAAATTAGAATATATGGGCCTCGTCACTACTCGATTTGTTTCAAGTTCTTTAATAATAATTTTAATTTTGATCACAGGTAACTATGGGTCCGTTGAACGGTAAAAGATATTCTGTTTCAAAATTATGTTTCACTTTTTTATTTTATTTTGTTGGATAAATAACATATGTATACTTACGATTTTATTATGGTCACGTGTTATTCATTTATTAAAATGAAATTCAAATTGTGATTGGGGACATAAATTATAATTACCTGCATTTTTTTTTTTAACAATACTGCAGCTAAAAGGAGCTGTTGGAAAAAAATGTATAAATTATACACCCATAAAAACAAAAAAAAAAAGCATTCAATAATAGATTTTTTATAATAAATTACTAGCTATAATACATAATACTATGATTTGTTTGTTATATTAATGACAATATTAAGACATAAATCAACATATAAATAAACAATTCTTACCACAAGGATCAATATTATTTTAGAGGAAGAATGTTTAATTTTTCTGGCTATAACATGTAATATAGAGATTATATTTATTTTATTTTATTGCTATAATATCTCAGCATGAAGTCAACTATATATAGTTAATTAGTCCAATAATATGCTAATGCAAGTATCTGGGCCAATATTAATCATCTAGTGGGTATGCTAATTATTTGGGTCAACGTCAATTGACCCCATCAAATTAATTATGCAAGTTGAAAATGAATTGTTGACTTTCATTTTGGAGGATGCATGGTTTTTTTTTTTTTTTTTTTTGGTACAGGGATCTTCCGGTTTCTTGATCCACAGGGGAACCGACTATTCCGAAATCGAGCCGGGTAGGACCACATGAGCGGCAAAGTTCTCCCTCAAGAGTTTTTAACACTGCTGCATTCTCAGGGCTCGAACATTTTATTAGTTAGGCATTTGAATATTTCAAATTATCAAAATATTCAATAAAAAACATTTTTATGTA